ACTGGGCCTGAATGGGTAAAGTTTTCAGGGCTGTGGAAGGCCTCTGAATGCCTAGGCTGGAGTGTGGGGCATGATGCAAACAAGCAGCAGTTCCCACCAGAAGGCAATCTATCCCTGGGGATTTGAAAGCTAAGACTCTTTTTTTTTTTTTTTTGGTCTTTTTGAGACAGGGTCTCCCTGTAGCCCCAGGCTGGCCTTGAACTCACAGAGATCTGCCTGCCTCTGCCTCCCGAGTGCTGGGATTAAAGGCGTGTGCCACCATGCCCTGCCTGTTTTAAAAAATATTTATTATTTTAATTTTATGTGTATGTGTGTATTGCCTGCATGTAGATAAGTGCACCTGTGTTGTGCAATGCCCACGGAGGACAGAAGAGGCTGTCAGATCCCCTGGAATTGGAGTTACGGACAGTTGTTAGCTGCCACGTGGGTGCTGGGATTCGAACCCGGGTCTTCTGCAAGAACAGTCAGTGTTCTTAAGCGCTGAGCCATCTCTCTTCAGCCCTAAAGGATGCTTTTGTGAGGGCTCTAAGAGACCACTTTCCCCACTGCAGTGGGTGGGGCCTTGGGTCCTGCTATGAGACAGACTCATCCTGCCCCTAGATCCAAAGTTGGCCATCTTGAAGTCCTGTTTCCCCCATCTTGCCTAGATTCCTTTGCAGAAAGTCAATGAACTAGAACTCAAAGAGCCCTTCACAGTCCAAAGTGCCTGAAGAACCCTACTCTTCATCCCTTCCCCCATGACCTGTCTGCCTTTCCAGGGAAAGGAAAGGGTGTTAGCGTTTGATATTTTCTTGGCAGTATCTAAAGGCTAACGTTTGCTTCCCTGGATGGAGAGAGTGTACCCAGTACATCCAAGGTGGTGAGTGCAGGGCCAGCTTGTGCATGCCTAGCCAACCTGGTGGAGGTGGGGGAAAGGTAGGAGACTGGGGAGTGACAAAAGCCTTTTGTAGATCTCTGAGCTGGCTTCAAGGATGGGTGTCTGTGGCGGGGGAGGGGCGTGGTGATGTGTCAGGGGCCAGTGTAATAAGATCCAGGAACGTGTCTGGTCCAACCGAACAGCAGTGAGTCACCACCTCCAAGGGTACCATTGAGGCTGCGAATCCCCATTGGGGCTGTTTGCTCTCTTAGTCAAACCACTAGACCACTTCCATGGCTGACACCCAAACCTCTGCTGGAGTGTGAAGAATGCTAGGAAGGGGAAAGCCACTGCTCCAGTCTCAGCCTTGCTGGGGACTCCTCTGCCTTTAGAGGAGGATTTCAGAATCTCCGCCCCAGTCCCACCCCTTTGCTGAGGCCATCCTAGCACAAATGGGCAGGGCCCAGACATTCTCAACTGTCTTGTCTGCTGATGGGGGAGGGAGGGATTCTGAGTAGACCCTGCTGGCCAGTGGCCTTCTAAGAGTCTGATGAACTCCTCTAGAAGACATGGAAGTCCTGCCAGCTCTTCTGCACCTCTATGCCTTTGTCTGGGCTCTATCCTCCACTGATGTGCCCTCTGGTCACCCTTGCTTAGGGAATACTAGCTTCTCTTAAGGGTCATATGCAGCTTTTGGCCCTGTGTCAGGGACCACCACCTACAGGCTAACTCTGGGCATCCAAGGCCCTCTGTGCAGACCTGCACACTGCAAGACACAGTCAGAATAGGTAGGGTTATGAGCCCTTGCAGCCTCGGCCTGGCTGTCCGCCTGGGCTATCCACATAGCCCAGTGCCAGGTACAGAGGGTTCCAATAAATATCTTTCAAGGTAAACCCAAGCAGGTGGAGGGCCCTGTCCTCAGGGGCTAGGCTTCTCCAAATGCTTTCTCCCCCATAGAACTGTCTCATGGCAGGACCCAAGGCCCACATGAAAATGGCCAGAGGTTAAGAAGCAGCATAGCTGAAATTCCGATGTCAGTTTGTACCCCTGCTAGCTCCTGACAGTACTGAGCACTCCTCACCCTGGCAGGCAGGACTGAGAAACTACATACTTCACATAGGCTGGCAAAGTTGGTGCTTGTCCCAAGCAGCTGGGACCCACAGCACCAGGTCTGCTCTGCTAACAAGCAAGAGGATTAATGCCAGAATGCTGTTGCCTGGTTGGCAGCTAGACTGGTCATAGAACACAGCTGCTCTGGGAAGCACCTCTCCCTTCAATTTCTCTTCTTCAAGGGAAGGCTGCTCAGGTAAGATCACCCCTCTAATGATCAGACTCTAGACAAACACAAAACTAACTCCTTCATTTCCAGCTCCCAGGGATGCAAATAGTCACCCATACCACAGTCCCAGTGATTAGAGCAAACAGAATGGGCATAATAAACCTGACCTAAGGCTGGAGGCACGGTGTTCCTCTGGACTCTACCTGTTTCCCTTTAATGCTTCCCCTGGCTAGAAAGGTGCAGCTGATCCAGCCAGAGCACACCAAGCACAAAAAGGGGCTGAGCCCACAGACAGTGACACATGGAGAGTCAGAGAGTATCTCAGTGTCAGAGGTGGTGGTGTCCCTAGAGACCATCGGTCTGACTCTGCTGGGTACATGTGGGTTTCTCAGACACAGTAAAGGGAAGGGACTTGGCAAGTTACACAGTAAGCAGTGAGTGGCAAGACAAGATCCCTTTTACAATCTTGGACCACAGGTTTCTTGTCAAACCACAATCAATCTCAAAGCTGCTGGCAGGAAGCAGAGAGAATGAGTACTGTACCAGGCAACATGGGTGCAGCTCCAGCTGGGTAGAATGCTTGTCTCCTAGGAGGAGGTTGTTGCACAAGCCAAGACAGAGCAGATCAACATGCTATGAAGGTCATAGGTGAGGGAGGAAGGAGGGCTCCCACTGCTGACCGCAGTAGCCAGACCATCTGAATAGGCCTGTCGTCATGGAGCAGAGCCAAGAGGTCTGGTCCTAAGAGGGCCCCAATGTAACGGTACACAGCAGGGATGAAGAGACAAAGTCTTTGGACTCTGGGAGCTATCTGTGAGTTGGCATCCTTGTCTATTGGGTAACGAGGGGACAAAGCACAGGGGATGGAGACATGGATGATGCCGGATGCACTGGGGTCATTTCCTCAGCAACTGGACTCCTTATGTACTTCCTTAGTGACTCGGTCCTGCCACACTGTGGGTTCTAGTAGGCTGTGTCTCAAAGGCAGGACTGTGCTGGATGCCCACAGAGCCCCAGCATCTAGCCATGCCACTTAGTTTCAAGGTCAGCATATCCCCATGGAATAAACATGAAGGCTGATTACTGACAAATTTCTGGCCCTGGCACAGGGTGTTCTGTCCCTTCACTGAGCATTCTTTCCTCCACTGAACATCCAATCAGGTCTTTCTGTGAAGGCCCCTCCCAGACAATGAAGATTCCAGGAGAAAGGAGCTCTCAGAGAGAGGTTGGCAGCAGGCTGTCTGAGTCTACAGGAAAGGTCGGCCCCAAGAGGGAGTCCACAGGTGACGTTACCTCCTTCCCTTTGCCTCCTGCAGCCAGAAGAATGTGGTTCCCCTAGGTTGTAAGGCTATCTCCAGGCAATAGCGTGGAGGGTGGTGGGGGCAGGGGGATAGTAAAGAGCTCTGGACCATGATGGCAGCCTGGTGTGGATGTGTTCCCCCCACTTCCTCCTCAACCCAATTTATGGTTCCACTGGCTCTGGCTGCCTCCAGCTCAGCTGCTATTTAGCACAATGAATTTTCCTTTGCTGCTGTAACCAACGGGTTCTTTAAGACACCAGGGCTGATGGCTGATGATGAAACACACACTGCCAGAGGCTCTGAGGACAGTGATGGTCCCGCTTTTTGTGTCCTGAGTATTCTCCCAGCTGACCATAACTTGCTATATCAGGCAGTTTTGGTGAGCTCTAATTTTTTATCAGTTGTTAGAAACCTTGTCTACTCCAGAGCTGGACTGTCTGGGGTCCTCTGGCCACATCTGCTCTCTCTGCCCTGCTGGCCCTTAGAAAAGGGTGCCCCTGCATACTCCTGCCCACCCTCTCTGTTCTCCCAGACCCTCTGGATCTTGTCCAGCCTCAGCCTGTGCCTTCTGCCCTCCCGATGCTTGCAGTTTGTCATCGTCCCCCCTCAGGGCAAAGCCAAGAACAACAGGTGGGGCTGGTTTTCTCCTTCCTTGGCAACACTGAGACCTGCCCATCCTGCTACTATGGGTGCAAGTCCTCCTGAAAGAGGTACCCACAGCCCCCTGTGGCCTCTGGAGATGACTAGGGCAGAGAAGTCAGGCAGAGGGTCCTACTGCTCCCTAGAGTATCTGGTTATAGGATCTGGATTCACATCCCACTATGTCCTTGACAAAGCCCTTCTTCCTCTTGGCCTCAATTTTCCTAACCATAAAATGGGTTCTAGATGATCTCTTGGGTCCCACTTAGCAATAACATTGAATGATGGATTGAGTACTCAAGCAAAATCCCTTTTCTTATTTCTGAACCTGTTCATCTGGAACAGCATGAGCTCATGGGTCAGAAAGACCTGATGGTTTTCAAAGCAGTCACAGGCAATACCAGTGGAATTCTTTCTGGCTCTTCACAGCATCCTTTCCCAACTTAATGAGGTATATGAAAAGTAGATCTGCCCAGAAGACAACCTGGAGTATATGAAAGGGTTCTCATAGCAGCTGTGTGGTACCATGGAGGGTCAGATGGATGCATGTCGGCTTCCTGCTCTATGTGAGCCTCAGTTTCCCTGTCTACTGGGTGGGAACAATATATTCCTCTCATCAAAGAACTGGAGAGTGGCTGAAGATGGTGAGATGTGCTAAGAACCAGGGACAGGCCTGGGCTTGCTGCATGTAATAATTTCTGGTTAGTAGCTATTCATCTGAGGACAAGGCCTTTCCTCCCCGGGGAAGCAGCAGTGACAACCATCACAACTCCTCTGTGTCCCAGAGCAGTAAGATCAAGTTGAAAAACCAAGGCTTGAAATAATTCGTGCAGGCAAGATTTCGGGGAGGGGGGGGCTTTCTGCAACAGAGCTATGCAGCATGTTCTGCTGGGGCTGCGGCAGGCAGAGGGCATGCAGTACTCACTTTAGGGAGAGGGAGTAGTCGTGTTTGCTGGTCTGGCTGTTCCGGACAAGGTAGCTACACTCCTTGCAGAGCCGCAGCAGGTTCTCGGCATCTCCTCTGCTGATGGCCCCGTGATACCATCTGGGAAGAGGGCAGAGTGTGGTCAAACCCAGGGGAGGGAGGAGACTAGGATCCCCAGTTTGACCCCGAAGGGGAGGCTCTGTGCTCTTGGAGGGCAGCTGCGCCTCCAGCCTCCTGTGAGGAGACAAGGCAGGCAATGCATTTGTTCTGTACTTCAATAACTGCTTTCCCAGTGCTGCTGCATCAGATCCTGAGGGAGAAGAATGAACAAGCCCCAGAGTCCCTTCCTGTACAAAGCTCAAGCTTTATGCAGGAGATCCAGACCAGACACTCAGTAGCCATGAAGTTTGCCCTGTGGTGACAGGTGCTAAGGAGATAAAGTGAGAACAGGTCACATGGCTGGGGTTATTTTAGGCACGGTGACAAGGAAAGCCTGTGGGTAGAAGGACACATTAGTACAGATCTGAGGCGGGAGGGGAAGCCATGAAAGAGAGTGGCTATGAAGAACCTGTTGTGGCAGAGTGGCGGGGCTGGTGCAAGGCCCAAAGCAGGAGTCTGGAAGGGTGTCTAAAGAGAAGTGGTGGGGTAGGCGTGGACAGAAGCAGGCAGAGTGGCCCAGGTACTCCTGGGGTGGACCAGGGCTTCGATGAAATGGACTCCCTAGAGTGTGACTCCAGCTCCGGAGATAGGTGAGGGAGAGGGCCATTCTCTACTCTGGACAGGGGCACCTAGAACCTGCTCCTGCCAAATGGCTCTGGCACTAGGCTGGGCATGAGAATCTCAGCATCGCATTTCCGGACACTAAGTGAGCCAGAGAGAAAGGAGAAGGTCTGGTGCAGAGGACATAAGGCCCCACCTGACCACAGAACAAATGGAAATCATGTTTCTGTGACTGTGAAAGCTGAAGACAAGACCTCAGTGGGACAGCAAAGACCTTCACTGACAGGAAACTACTCCGCAAAGCCATCTGTGTCTATGCCAGACCTGGGAGGGCTGGATAATGGTGAGGCATGGATGCCAGAGGGAGCAGAGACTGAGGAGGGTAGTGGTTGGTGGCTGTGGCATGCCCTGCTTATAGAGGCCTGGCTGAGCTCTCAGAGCATGAGGATGAAACGGATGATCCTTAGGAAGGGCTGTGCAGAGCCTGTGTAGTTTTTATAAATGGCAGTTGGATTACTGCCAGGATGATTGGGCTAACAGACTCCATGGACTTGGTTTACCTATAACCCTGCTCCTACAAGCCTCAGGCTATGTGGTACAGTCCCAGATGACTGAGACAAGAAAAGCCTGCTCCTAGTCACTGTAGCTTCCTCCCACTGACAAGGCGGTACTCCCCAGATGGTAGCCACGGCCACAACAAAACCATAACCTATAACAGTGAGGGCTGGAGAGCAGGTGGTCAGCATACCAGCACAATGGGAAAGTGACTGAGTTGCTGACCCAGGGGTGGCCACAGAACTGGGTCTGTGAAGGGCAAACTGCACACAAGTGACTATGTGGAGGGATGTGGATGTGGTGGAGCAGGCTATAGACTATACATCTGCCTTTCTACAGTTACAGGACCACAGGGTCAGGGATGCTCAGGTCACCATAGTGAGAACAGTTCCAGAGATGCCAGGGCCCAAAGTAAGCCTGAGAGGACACACGGCTGTCATGAGGAAAAACAGCCAGACAAAGACAGAGCTGGCTTCACAAATAAGTGGTAGCAGATCTGGTGAGACTGTCCTTGGGAGAACTGGCCTGGGTGACACACCCCCAGCAAGCCAACAAAAAAACATTTTATTAGGAACACAACTTCCAGCCATTTGAAGCTGAGTGGTCCTCCGGGAAGTCAGGAAGGGGTCTCTAGGGAAGTGCTGCCCACTGCCTGCCCTCCCTGAGCACAGGAGCTGGAAGAGAGACAGCAAAGGGCCTCCAGGGGTCTCGTTAAGGGTAATCCCCGGTGGTAAACAGGATAAACTGCCAGTTCCTTTCCTGGCTACTCCATGTTTAGAGAAAGGAGGGGCCTGGAGTGGAGGATCAAAAGAGAGAGGGACAAAGGGCACTAGATCAGGAGTTAGGCAGCCAGTGTGCAGCCTGTCAGCAGGAGGCTGTAGACAGACAGGCTGGCTTGGGTGGTCCCGTGGGGGTGGGGCTGGCTGGGGACATGCTGGTCTCTGTGGAGCTAGCCGGCCAGGTCAGAATTAGGGGGACTAAAGAGACTCAACCATGCCTTTCATCCCACTGAAGAGCCACTGGTTCATCCAATATTTACCCAGTACACCCTCGATCTCTTGGGTCTGACATGGAGAGACAACAAAGAGATAATACAGGAATGCATTCTGTATTGTGGAGTATTGCTCCATAGCAATACTAGGGTTATGATAAGGCAGTGACTAGTGTAGCTGAGGTGCTTTCTTTGGAATGAATTAACAGGGAGGTGTTGGAGAAGAGGATGCTTGGCCTGAAAACCTGTATCATGAAAGGGAGCAGACTCTGTGAAGTGTCCCCATGCCCAATCTCTGCAGAGGAAGCAAGTGCAAAGGTCCTGAGGGAGGAATGCATTTGGGGTATCCACGGAAGAAAGGCAGTAAGAGTAGTCCTAGCACTGTGGATAGAGTGGTACAGGATGGGTGAAGTGGGAGGCAGAGCCCACTGGGCCCAGAAAGTAGTCTGGCATAAATCTAAGCATACTGGAGAAGACTGTTATATCATGATGCAACCCACAGAAGATCAGCTAGTTTGCCCCGCAGAGGAGCAAGGAGTGGGAGACAAGTGAAGGCGGCTCTGAAGAGACGGTGCAGAGATCAGAGAAACATACACATGACACCGCGGCAGACGTTCACGTGAGGCAGAAAAAGGAATGACAACAAAGGTGATGTCGCTGAAGCAGACATGGAAGCTTGTTTAGAGGTAATCAGGAACGACACATTCTTAACGTGTTATGTTTTTGATGCTAGGGAGGCAACTGGAGGTAGAGGTGATGGGTTCTGGGAAAGTTCTGGGCCAGGGCGATGTACCTGCTAATTGTCACCAAGATCCAGGGGATGATGCCCTGGAGAGAGTTCAAAGCTACAAAGAGCTCTACAAAGGCCACCTTTCAGGTCAAACAGAGGCTAGGAGCCACCAAGTGACCAGAAGGAGTGGCTAAGGAGGCAGGAGAAAAAAAACAGCTTTTGGGGGGACTTCATTAAGCCCCAGCCATTTACTGAGCACCTATTATATTCAGGCACTGTTCTGGACTGCAGGGGTGCAGTGGCCACCCAGAGAGGTAAGGGTCCTAACAGGACGTCTGCTCTCAACAGGTGTTAATAGCTGAAGAGGGATGGTAGGTCAAGGTGATTTGACAAAGTTTGTGATTAGAACATGCTTACATGCCAGTGGTGCTGGAGGAGGAAGGGGACTAGGTGGTCCCCTGCCTGGACAGTCCTCTACCTAAAGCAGGCCTGTCAGATGGCAACTCAGGATTCTAGAAGGCCAGGATAACACTAGGAAGAGGAAATGATAGAGGAAGGAAAGTCAGGAATACCTCAGGACTTGGCCTGGTTGGGTGGGAATGGGAAATGAGGGGCACCTTTCTTGGTCAGGGGGTGGAGACAGGGTGGAGGGGCTCTGGCTAACCAGGGCAGACCAGGCCACTGCTGGTCGAGGTGCATAAGAATGGTTCCTAGGCATCTCTGGATCATAATCTGTTAATACATGCACGGTTTGGTCAAAAATAAGCAAAACCAGTCAGAGCCTCCCTAGCAGGTCCATATGGCAGGATGGCTACTGAAGGCGGCTGTGGCCCTCCCTGGCAGAGAGCACATGGCCTAAAGGCAGTACATGACATCATTAGGAAAACTCTGCATCCTGCTCACCAAGTGAGCCTTTCCTGTGGGGGATGCGCTGCTGGCCAGCAAGACCAGAATCATCCATCATACAATACAATAAGGAATGCTCCTGAGTAGCTGTGGCAGCATCAGCTCTTGTCTTAATAAAGCCCTTCTCTGCACTAGGCATGTGCTCAGGCTGCAGAGGTGAGACACACAAGAGGAGGTGAAAGGAAAGGGTGAGGCCTAGGTCTCGTGGTTGGGCCTTATCTGGGCATTTCCCATCTGGGCAGTGGGGATGACAACCCCTGTCACTGTACCCTTACTTGCTATGTGTACCTATTTACCTATTTAGTAAGTTTCTGGAGAAACTCAGTTTAGTCCAAGCAGTAAGAAACTGAAAAGGCAGTTGCAGCTAATGACAAGCAAGGGAGCTGGGACTTTATCCTGGAGGTAATGAAGAGCCACAGGGTTTGAGCCAGTGACTGCAGGTGGACAATCTCTGGTGAAAGGGGCCAGGGAAATCCAAATCAAAAGTATAAAAAGCCTGAGCAGGTTAATAGCAAGCAGCTGTAGAACAGAAACTACGTAATAGTCAAAAAATCTAATTTACACCGAGGGCAGGTTTAGTTCAGATTTAGCCTTTCAATAACTTATTTGCTGTAAAATGAAATAAAACTTAGAATCAGGCAGACTGATAGTCCTTTTTAAAGTTATTCACCATGAGAGCTATCAGGAGTGCTTCACATCAAGCTTTAAACATGTAATATGGACTGAAAAATTATAAATTAAAGAGAAAAAGCAAAAAGCTTTTTCCCACCTTTAATCCGAGAACGGGGGAGGCAGAGGCAGTCAGATTTCTGTGAGTTCAAGGTCAGCCTGGTCTCCATAGTGAATCCTCTAGGCCAGCAAAAGACCAAAAAAAAAAAAGAAGAAGAAAAGAAAAAGAAAAGAAAAAAAATTGGACACTAGGATGAAAATATGAGGTAAACAAATTGCAGATAAATTTTGCAATCCCTTCTGCCAGCCACCAAGAGTCAGGGTGGCAACACGGTGTAGAGAGACCAGGCCTGATCAGGAGTCAGGGGCCCTCCATATCCCATGAGCCTCTGTGCATGAGGGGACAACAGCTCACACCAAAGATCCCTGGGCCCAACTGTGCTCTTGAGGCAAAGGTGTGAAGGAGGGCACAACAGCCAGAGGAAGCAGAGCTGGCCCCTGGTTTCCTGTCACTAAACTTACATTTGCTTCTCCAGTGGGACAGTGGGATCCACTCTTTCTCCCAGAATCCCACAGAACTCAGGGCTTCCATGTTTTATGGGCTTGAAACCTCCTCCAGGAGCACGGAGCTGGCGCCGCCGGTCTCGAGAAGGTGAAGGGGAGGACTGCCGCTTCTCGTTGCCATTGAACTGGGCTACAAGAACAGAGAAAATACAGTTATCTGGTGCTTAATCCATTTGGCTCTGGGGAGCACACAGTAGAGCAACATCCAACTGCTCCTCCTGGTACTCTGCAAGAAGAAGAGAGGCTCCAAAACACTGGATTCTGCTATGGCCTGAGTGCGTCCCCAAAAGTTCCTGTGCTTGAATTGCAATTGCTCAATGAGTCAGTATTGGGGAGCAGGGCCTAAAGGGAGGTATTCGAATTGTGGGGGTTGGGTATGCTCATGAAAGAATGCTAAGTTCTCAGACTGGACCAGCTACCACTGACCAACCCCAGGAGTTTTTCTGTCCCTCTGAGAAATTCTGTCCCCATTAACCACTACAGAAAATAGGAAGGGAGGTTCCTGTCAACAGAAGGCTCCAAGCACATTGGACCCTATCCACTCTTATGCTTCAACATAAGGCATGGGCAGCCTGTCCACCCAGCAGTGAGCTCTGGCAGGCAGGCCTATGACCCTTCAAGAAATTCATTCACAAATCAAGGTATAGGTCAAGGCTGGAGAAACAGCCAGGTAAATAGGCCAGGTAAATAGTAAGTCAGTATGTTAATGGCTGGTGGTAAAGTGCCACAGAGACCCATGCAGCAGGTAGGGAAGAGGATGCCTGAGTAAACACCTGAATGGGAAGGAGGGATGCTGATGGCTCATGGGAAGGCCACTTTCCAGCAAGGGAAGAACCAGTTCTAGGCCCTGAGGCAATCTGAGCCTGGAGGGCTTGGGAGAAGGCCAGGCTGAGGGCTGGGCCTTAGGGTCTGGATTGCATTGGAGAGAAAGTTTTGGTATTACAGGGAAGGACTAACTCCCTTCCTTTAACATCTAGGTTGTGCTAGGTTGTAGAAGCAAGGCTATGTGAGGTTCTGAACTTTCTATTCAATTTTGCTGAGAACCTAAAACTGCTCTTAAAAATAAACAGGCTGGGCATGGTGGTGCACACCTTTAATCCCAGCACTTGGGAGGCAGAGGCAGGCCAGCCTGGTCTACATATTGAGTTCCAGGACAGCTGGGGCTGTCTCAAAAAGACACACACACACACACAAAAGTAAATAAACAGAAGTTTGTTGTTGAAAAGAGGGAGATAGGTGGAGGAGGAGTGGGGCAGGGGATAAGGGACACACCATGGCAAGCTTTGGCTGCACACATATTAGCAGATAGAGGGCAAATGGCCTTACCCAGGAGGGATGCACTCAACTCCCATGCCCCTCTTGGGTAGGGAGAGGAAGAGGTAAGTAGATTCTGCCCAAGTATAGCCCTTGGTGGGTGACCTTGGGGCCACATAAACAGGTGAGAGACAGTCTCTGAGCCCTTGTATCAAGAGTTTGATCCTACATGGGATGATCAGAGAATGACCTTCTTAGGCTAGTGCTGACAGTCTGTGACTGCTGATAGCGGGTAGGGAAACACTGAATATACCAACCAAAGGAAGGAAAGGAGGGTGCAGGGCCTCTCAGTTAGGAAAGGGGGTCAGGAGACCAGCCCACTCCCCAGGGGAGACGAATGGGGGATGTCAAGACCTTCTTGGCAGGGTAGAAAACTGTGGTAAGGCAGAAAACTTAGGAGAGGGAGGGAAAAGCTGTATAGAAAAAAAATCACATTTAGCTCTGACATCCTGGGGCTCCACTAGCTAAAATCAGGATTGGAGGATTTCAATCAATAGTAACTCCTACTACAGACCTGACATAGAAGGACAGAAGAGAGGCCTGAAGCACAGACCAAGGCTAGTGGAGCCCAAACCACTTTTCTTCTTTTATAAAAAAAATATTTTATTTATTGTTATTTATTTTTTGGCTTTTTGAGACAGGGTTTCCCTGTAGCCCCAGCTGTTCCGGAACTCACTATGTAGACCAGGCTGGCCTTGAACTCACAGAGATCCGCCAGCCTCTGTCTCCCAAGTGCTGGGATTAAAGGCATGTGCCACCATGCCCTGCTACTTATTGTTATTTTGTGTGTATGCGTGTATTGCCTGCATGTAGGTAAGTGCACCTGTGTCATGCAGTTCCCGAGAAGGACAGAAAAGGCTGTTGGATCCCCTGGAACTGGAGTTACTGACAGTTGTTAGCTGCCATGTGGGTGCTGGGATTCAAACCCGGGTCTTCTGCAAGAACAGCCGGTGTTCTTAACCACAGAGCCATCTCTCCGGCCCTACTTTTCTTCTTTTTTAAAGATTTACTTTCTTTCTGTTTGCCTGTGTGTATGCCATGTGTGTGCAGATACCTATGGAAGCCAGAAGGGGGTATTGGAATAGGAGTTATAGGAAGTTATGGCCCACCCCCCAACTATGGGTGCTGGAAACTGAACTCTGGTCCTCTGGAAGAACAGTAGGTACTCTTAGAACCCAGGCTCTTAAGCACAGGCTGCCTGCCCAGGACCCTGAATCACCAGTCTCCTTGTCTGGTTCCCATGAGCCATTGTGGACGGGCTGAGAACCACCTCAGCCCATGCTGAACACAGGCCTTGCAAGGTGACAGGTACGCAATGGATGGCCAAATGAAGAAACTTAATGAGCTGATGCTATGCTTTATTGGGAAAAAATATTGGTTTCCTACTAGATAAATTGGATAAAACCTAAGACTGTCCTAGTCGACACTATAATTCCCCACTGAATTAATTTATTCACCCTCTGGCAAGCTCAATAATGCAGCCATATATTTTAGTGAGAACAGGTGGTGATGAATGACAAGCTTAATTAGGCAAATCATTTCACCTGAGACACAAATACACAAATTCTAAGTGCAGTGATTCAGCAGCCAAAGGGAAAAAAAGAACAAAAGCTCCAAACACAACTGCTTCTACCCCTTCTAATTTTCTCTTTAATCTGCAACTTAAAATGGCAATTCTTTTAATTTAGTGATTTTCCTGCTAAAGATAAAGATGCAATCCTTCAAAAGACTATCTGCATTCAGAGGAAAGTATGCTACCCTCATAAGCTGCTCACATGACAAAACCTAATGAGTTCTACCGATAGGCAATTAAAGAGCAAGTCAGGATCCTGCAAAGGTGAGCGAGACTCAGAGCTGGGTAGTATGAGGCACTGGGAGTGCTCTGACTTCAGTTCCTGGATGGAGACCCACCCGTAGTGATAGTGGAAGGTAGCTTGGTCAATGTACTCCAGTCAGCATCTTGGCTCAGTCCCAAATGTCTACACAAGGGTTCCAGCCAGGGAACAGGGCTCATGCCTCAAATGCCCCTACCTTCTGGGAGGCTTTACCGGGCCCTTCTCTGGATAGTCTCAAAGTGAGTAGTCCCCTTCTCTGTGTTACAAATATGACATTCCTCAGTCCTGATTTGGCCTAAAGAGGCCATCTTCATTAGCCTTCATGATACCCCTGCCATGGGATAGCAAATGCAACAATTAAGGAGTGAGGAAGTACTCTTCCAGGGTCTTGAAGCCCAGGGGGCAGGGCAAGGGCTGAGTCCTGAGGGATGGTCTTCCCCCAACTTCAGCTTCCTTCCTCAGAAGCTATATCTCCCTCACTTGGGCTCCTGCTCCATGTGACTGGAATATATACAGGCCTCCAAGGACTAGCATGAATGCTGTGTCTCCCTTGCAGGGCTCCCCCCACCCCACCAGCCCATAGTTCTGGCCCTTGGTACTGTGCCGACTGCTCCAGGGGAATCAATCCACTCTTCCCAGCCCCCCTAGTGTTCTGTGGGGCAGCACTCGGAACAGGTTTTCCTTCTGCCCTCTCTCTGTCTGCTCCTGAATTCACCTCATTGAGCAGCCTGGAGAGGATGCTTAGAAAAAGTTATAGCTCAGTGAAGAACACTTGCTTAGCATGCAGGAGGCCCTGGGTTCCCATCACCACATTGAAATGAAAAAAAAAAAAAAAGAGGAAAATGTTGCACCAGTGTTCAGGGTAGGCCAGACTCTGCAGCACAGTTCTGCTGGGATTAAAACTCTCATTGGCTCTCCAGTGCCCTAGTTCAAAAGCAGACTCTTCACTCTGGTGCTCAAGGTCAGCACCAGCCTGACCTCTCACATCTTAAGCTCTATTCTTGAGGATAGCTGGTTCCCAAATCTGCCTTTGGGCCTTTGCTTGGCTGTGTTTAGCCTTCTTCACGATAGTGAAGGATACTGCAAAATCTCAGCTATTCCACAAAGGCTACCTCCTGGGGTTAGCTTTGCCCAAGGTCCCCAGGTGGAATTCCTTTTTCCTCCTCCAACCCTGAAGTCCCTAGTCTGCAGAACCACCCCATACTTCATGAAGGAATTTGGATATCTCCTCAGAAACAGATTGAAACAGAGCCTTGGTTCCCTTCTGCCTTGCAGGCAGCCCCAGGGAGTGGCCCACAGACTGAAGTAAGGCCAGGGAGGGATCACAGTGACTCTGCATTCCTACTTGGGAATGGGGACACCTTGTTTTCATCCTCCTGTGCCATTAGTCAACATGATGGTGGACATGTTTCTTAACCTGAGTTCAGCTTCCTCATCTGCAAACCAGGGCTGACAACACCTACAGAGAAAAGGGCCATGGCAGTGGCAATGGCTGATATCAGATGATATACCACGGTCCAGGCAGGTCCCCTGTAAGTGGCAGACCTCTCTCATGGTCACATGCATGTTTACGATGGTTCTTTACATGTATTCACAACGATAAAATAACCTGTATTAGAAACCCATATTCTTTTTCTGGACTTCCCTAGAATTCTGAAGTCCATGAGTGTGGGGCATTTTATTCTGTTTGGTTCACCATCACCTAATGAATAGATGACGTTCAACATCTATTGAACGAATGCCTCTCTGCCTACCTCTGGAGGGCTGTGACACCTTCATTCATTATTTGAGAAAGGAAACTCAATTGGACTTCCTCCTTTAGGGTGTGTGTGTGCATGCACATGTGGAGATCAGATGACAACTTGTGGGGGTTTGCTCTGTCCTTCCACATGTATGTTCTGGGCATTGAACTCTGATCTTCAGACTTGGCAGTAGTACCCTTACCCGTCAAGCCATCTTGCTAGACATGTCATTTTGGGGG